CACAGAGATCTGCCTGCCTCTGCCTCCCGAGTGCTGGGATTAAAGGTGTGTGCCACCACACCCAGCTCTAGCCCATCTTTTTAAGAAATATTTTTATTATTTTAATTTTATATATATGAGTGTATTGTTTGCATGTGAGTGCGCCCATGTCGTGGAATGCCCCAGGAGGTCAGAAGAGGGTTTGAATCCCTTGGAACTGGAGTTAGGACAGTTGTTTAGTCACCATGTGGGTGCTGGGAATCAAACCAGAGTCTGCAAGAACAGCCAGTGCTCTTAACCACTAAACCATCTCTCTAGCCCTTAGCCATCTTATTTTTAGATGCATTTGAAAGTGAATTGCATTGTTATTCTTTGTTCCTAAACCCTTAAATATGCATATCTTTAGCCAAGTTACTGTTGACTTTTTATTTAAAGCCTCATACATACATAAAACTCTCTGGCTTAAGACCTTAATATAAATCCATTCTCATGGAACACCTAACTGGATGTGCATCTATACCTTTTAAAAATACTACTTTATGCTTCTAAGTTTCATTTGTCATATGACAAAAGGTATGTATGTAAGGTCAACTCAGTGAAAGCACAGAATGCCAAAATGTGGAAAACTGGGTCTTTTTCTTAAGCTTGTTACTTACCAATTAGTTTTACTTAGGAAACCAATGAGTTGGCAATCTGTTGTTATCAGCTAGACCAAAAGAAAACCTCAAGAAAATGCAGGTTTCTGGTAAATTTATTAGTGTAGCTGACATTTTCCCACCTGCTTATCAGAAACAAACATATGGACATTGTTTGAAAATAGAAAGCAATAAAAATACTTGGAAAAAAATCTTAAACATTAAACAATTGAATGAACTATTTTATGTGATATTAAATTAATATATACTCTTAGAACATACTAATTCTTTAGTATATTTTACATTGTGAATATATATTCAGTTTTTAAACTGAAAGAGGATCTTTCATAAATGGCTTTAAAAAAAATTTAAATGAAAACCTGCTTATAGGGCATAAAAAATCATAGATTTATAGAGAACAGGTCATTTAATACATTTATTCACTAAATAGCATTTAAGGTATTTCTGAGTTTTTACTTCTACTTTTGAAATATCATCTATCCCCTTAATGTAGACTATAGAATCTCAATACCACAGGCCCAGCTTTTTAACTGCAATACTGGTGTGCTGTTAATATGTAAAAAGTATTCTGAAATAATAATTGTTTTGCTCTGGACTTCTAACTAGAGCCTGGGTATATGTAAAAATTTTACAAAAGAAATCCAAATTATTCTCTTTGAAATTCTTTTTATTCAGTGTCTAGAAGTTCAAGGAATATGACTTGTTGCTGTTGTTTGTTTTGTGTTACTAGAGATTGAACCTAGAACTTCACACATGCTAAGCAAGCACTATACCACTGAGCTTATATCCTTAGTACCTGTTTGAGGGGGTGTTTTTGTTCTTTTTTCTTTGGGGGTTTTGTTGTTTTGATTTTTGTGGTGGTTCTTTTTTAGTCATAAAATCTGAGATTATCTTGGATTTTTCACATATGTTTTAGGTGGCTCTCCTTTTCTTCATTAAAACATTCCATCTTTTTTATTGTGAAGTTTAGTGCCTTAGCAATAATTTTTACCTATGCCCTAAACCCACATTTGGGGGAAGCATCTTTGGAGTCACTTGGCTGCTTTTTGTTGAACAGATTGACTGAGTACTATTTTTCCAGAATTATTTTTTTCATTCCAAGTTTTCCCATAGGAAAGAATAGATGTAAATTACTACAGTAATTTATAGTCATTCTATAGTCTTTAAAGCCTAAGTACAAGTGAGTTAGACTGTTATGAATTATAATGTGGATCATAAATGCAAAGGGCTGAAGCCGTTCATCTTTAATTCCTCTTATATTGTAATTCCCAGTTAAGTTAGCAGAAGCTAAAAATAAATATTCAAGTAAATACTCTGAACAAATCTGAGAAAGCTGTTTTGCTTGGAGTTTTGCATAAATTTCTACTGTTTGCTTCAGTGTTTCTCATTTGAGGATGTTATAAATTAGGGTAAACAATTCTATCAAATTCTCCCTGTAGCCCCAATTGGCTTGGAACTCACTATGTAGACCAGGCTGGCCTTGAACTCAACAGAGATCCACCTGTCTCTGCCTCCCGAATGCTGGGATTAAAGGCGTGTGCCACTATGCCTGGCTAAATAAAATATTTTTTAAAAGATAATTTGATGCAAGGATTTGGAGAACAGCCTGAGTACAGTTAAGGATGTGGAGGAAGTAGCAAGAACAGTTGACTGAGAAGTGCAGTCTCGTGGGACTGGTTTCCTGACTCTGTAGGTTAACTATCCCTTCTGTTGTTGGAGCAATTCTAGTTCCTGCTTCTTCCTGATGAGGATATTTGGGGAAATTATGTAGATATAAAATAGAAGGTGGACTTGGATGCATTTAAAGATCTGAAGGAGATGTTCAAGGACTCATCCTATTGTGATTTTGAAAGACAGCAAAATCACTACACTGAAAAATGCTCTTCCCTATAAGCCTTTACTCCAAGGGAATTTTAAAACCAACTTTTAAAAGCCTATGAAAACTCAAATAACACTAATGTAACTTACCAGGATTCAGAACTCCTGAAATCACAGTGTATACCTTGTTCTATACATTCAGCTTCTACTGTTAAGAGATAAATAGCCAAGTGCAGAGCAGCATGTGTACTGACTGTAATGTGGTATTTTGAAAAGGTGTGTATTCATGTGTGTTTGAGTATGCATGTACTAAAAACTATTTAACAAGGGTTGTCCCCATGGAAAGAAACAGAGTAGTGGCAACTGTTAAAAGTAAGTGCATACTCTTTTGGTATCAGGAGTAACTTAGATTCAGCAGGTGTCTCTAGGTCAGAGCTTCTGAATATTTTAAGCATCAACACTTTGTTTCCTAAGTATAAATAATGTGAAGTCATTTTTTTAAAAAAAACAATCTGCTTTCACTCTTAAAGGAACTCTTTTTTTTTTTAAGTTTACATTTGTTTTCTATGATGTAAGGAAAAAGGCAGCCCCCCCCCTTTCCCAATTTGTAGCCCTGAAAAATGACCCCAATTCTCTTCAGAAACTGTTATCGTCAGGAGCATTGGTGAAAGATTTCTTTTATTTAAATATTAGAGTGAAGGTGTGTTAGTGTAGGGGTATGTGTATGTGTACATGTGTTTGGCTGCCCATGGAGGCCAGAAAAGGATGTCAGATCCTGTGGAGCTGGAGTGAGCTACCTGATATGGGTGCGGGGTGAACTCAGGGCCTCTGCAAGAGCAGCAAGCACTCCCCACTAATGAGGTATCTTTCCAGCTCCAGGAGCATCTCTCTTTGTTTTTTGTTTAATTTATTTTTATTTTATGTGTATGCGTGTTTTGCCTGCATGTATGTAAGTATACCACATGCATGCATTGCCTACAGAGGTCAGAAGAGGGCACTACTGGAGTTAAATGGTTTTTAGCCGCCGTGTATGCTGGGAACTGAACCCAGGTCCTCTGTAAGGGTAGCCAGTGTTCTTAACCACTGAGTATCTATGCCTGATGCCCCCTCACTCTGTTGGGTTTTTTTTTTTTTTTTTTTTTTTTGGTCTTTTTGAGACAGGGTCTCCCTGTAGCCCCACCTGTCCTGGACCTCACTACGTAGACCAGGCTGGGCTTGAACTCACAGCGATCCGCCTGCCTCTGCCTCCCAAGTGCTGGGATTAAAGGCATGCGCCACCATGCCCGGCTACTCTGTTTTCTTGAGACGGGGTATCACTATGTAGATCCAGCTGACCTCAAACTCAGAGATTTACCTGCCTGTGCCTCCCAAGTGCTGGGATTAAAGGTGTGTGCCACCACATCTTTTTCCCAGGAGCATCTTTTAATCAGCTGCAAATTCCCAGTACACATTCCTGAGCAACAGCCAGTTACCCATTTTTTAGAGTTAACTTAGAGAGCTTTTTTCTGTCTCCCTTTCTCTGTTTCTGTAAAGGCGGATTCCAGGTGTAACTGTGGGAGTCTTTTCAGCTTCTTGATTAGGCACTGACTCTCTTATGATCCGGATAGAAAAATATCTGCCTGACAAAATAGTTATATAAATGGCTCTGAAATTCTTGGGTACTTTTGTCAATAGAGGACCTTGTTTAATCATTGAGTTCTAAGGCTCTTGAAGGTATATTTTACAAATTGTGGGGGTTGAAAACATCCTTTAAGCATATTTTAAAAACACTAAGTTTAATTCACTATGAATTATTTTTCAGAGATAAAATGGATTTGATCAGAATTCAGCTAATTAAAGGATGTGCACTTGTACCGCTCTGTGTCTTGAAATATCTGAGTCCATGCTATAAAAACTGGCTCATGCTTTTGCTTTGTTATATTATCAAAAAACCAGAAAGAAGAGGGAAAGCTTCAAGGACAGCTTAACAAGTCGGATTCTAACCAGTATATTAGGGAACTGAAAGATCAGATAGCAGAGCTGAATCATGAGGTAAGTGATAAATTTTGATCTTTACATATTTCTTTCTTCCTTCCTCTCTAAGTGTAACACTTTATTACTGATTATATGGCTGACTTTTTCATGCTAAACATTGTCTATGAATTCATGATTATAATAGTATTTTAGAAAAATGTCTTTTTAAAAAGGATTATTGTGTTCAAATGAGTAACTTATGATTAATGTGTGTGTGTGTGTGTGTGTGTGTGTGTGTGAGAGAGAGAGAGAGAGAGAGAGAGATCTGACCCTTATTAGTTACCCTGATCTAAACTTTACTTCAGTTATAGTAAAAATTACCGTTGTATAGAGGGAAGTCTTTTTACTCTTGCCCCCTTTTCCCCCTTCATGGTGCTATTACTGAGATTGCAAAAAAGGATACTTGCCTAATATCAGTTAACAGATTTCTTAGTATTTGAATGCTCTTTAAACTGGCACTACCTAGAATCTGTGAAATTCAGCTCATGAAATTTTCAGAATTGAACTAGATATTGGGCTAATTACATTATTTTAAACAACTCTGTTTTAACTAAAGAAATACTTTTTGTTAGTGTAGCTCTAGGTTGATTACCTTGTCCTTTATTATTTTCTATGATAAATATCTGACGACATAAATAAAAGATTATATTTCTTATTTTGCATTTTTATAAAGCAATGTTTTTCACAGTAATGAGACATGAAAGGAAAGCATAAGCTTGAGATTTGCTGTAAAAAATGAAGAAGAAAGAAGGAAACTCCTTCTGGCCACTAGATGAATTTAAACCTCAAAGAAACAAGTGTGGACATTGCCCTTTCCTGGCCTTACATCCTTTAGTTAAGTCTGAGTGTTTGGGGTGATAACTTCCTGCAGGTAGTCAGTCAGTCAAAGAATACATTCCAAGTGAAAAAAAGACAAAACTTAAAAAGCAGTGATAGCTATTATATATGGTTCAATTTGATTTTCTTTGGAATATAAGTAGCAATTCCTAGAAATACTCATATTTAGCTATGATAATATTTGAGGGATTCAGGATCTTAAATATTATCTTCTATTCAAATGTGCTTTTTTTAGTAATTGTGTTTGATCTACAGACAAGTTCCATATAAGCATGTTCTAGAGATTTTTACTCTTTTGAAAACTCTAGAAATTATTCCTTGTGCCCAGATGTTCTTGACAGAAATTTTGACTAAAATAAAACAATCTCCCATTTAAGTTCTTAAAGAAAACTTTAGTATTGCTGAATTAATAAAATTATACATAGATTATTTCTAATACTAGCTTTAAAATTAATAGGCATTAATTTTGTCTGTCTTGTGCTGTGACTAAAAATATTTTCCTCATCAGGATTGACAGAAAATAATTCACATGTTATTTAACCTTAGTGAGCTTTTTGTTTGTTTTGGGGGGCAGGATCTTGCTTTGTACCCCAGATTGGCTTCAGACTGTCAATCTTTCTGCCTCAGCCTCCTGAGCGAGATTATAGGTGTGAGCCACTGCCTAATGTTTTCTCATATAAGACTTTTGAAAGCAGTTTCTTATACAAACTTGAAGACTAAATTGATAGCAGAGTAAAATGTTCTACTGTTAAAGAGCTAGATCCAAATTAAAGACTAGAATTTTGTGATGAGGTATGGGTTTTACAGTTCAGAATAGCTGAATTCCTTGGCTTAAAAAGGTCCCTGTTAGAAGTCATGGTGCTGGAAAGTGCACAGACATTGGTGACACACAGAAGGCTCAGAAGTGAACATGAGAACAAGGTTTGGAACTCAGAGACCGAATCTGACAAGAATTCATGTGACTAAGTCATGGGAAGGGAGGGTAGACTGAGTACAGAGGTTCTGGTGAACCTTTCAAGCTAGAAGGTAGTAGGCAATAGGAAATGATTGCTGGTATTCAGTTGGAGGAGCTTTTTCATTGTTTTTAAAGACATTACAGCTGGGCATGGTGACATATGCCTGTAAACCCAGCACTATAGGAGCTGAGGCATGAGGATTACTAGGCTACATAGTGAGGTTAAGGCTACCCAGGGCTACATAGAGAGACCCTATCACCAAGAAAAGACTTATTTGAATACCAGTCTTTAAAAACCAAAATATTTAGCCTGGCATGGTTATGTACACCTTTAATTCCCAGCACTTGGGTGACGTGGGGACAAAAGGATCAGAAGTTTAGGATCATCAACCATACAAGGAGTTTGAGACCAGTTTGAGCTAATGAGACCCTGTCTTGAAAAACAAAAGGCAGAAAAACAAACAAAAATACTAAATATATTTGAAATAGAGCAGACTGTACTTGTTTGATTCTTTCCTTTCATCTTTATGTGGGGTCTGGGGACCAAACTCAGGTCAGATCGAACTCAGGTCGGCAGTCTTGCATAGCAAGTACATTTACCCACTAAGCTATCTCTTTAGTTCCAAGTCTTTTGTTTCTTTAACTGCATGCTTATTCCCTACTGCTTGTTTTCATGTCTTAATTTTCTTTAGCTATTTAGAGCTCTGGGTATGTTTCTTAATAGTTCCCCAAGAATAGAATTGGCATCCCTACACACAAACTATATGAACAGCAGCAGTATACTTCTGGAGGTAGAAATAAGACTCACAGATGGTGTTTTCTATTGTGCTGATGGTTGGATTTTAATCTCCAAGAAAAATTTAATGTTTAAAATTAATATGTAGGGTACTGGAGAGATGGCTCAGTGGTTAAGAGTACTGGTTATTTTTGCAGAGGACCTGAGTAACAACCATCTGTAACTTCAGTTCCAAGGGATCTGATGCCCTCTTCTGGCCTTTATGGGCGTTGCACAACATGGGTGCACTTACACACATGCAGGCAATACACTCATACACAAAGAATGAAAATCATGAATAAAATATTTTTTAAATTAATATGTAGAGTTTTAAGTTGTCATTTGTTCTTATAGTAGAAAAAGATTAGTTTTCCTAGAGTAGCAGCTTCCGAATAAAAGGAAGTATGTTTCCTGTCCCTGGAGCAGTGCACAGCCCCAGGCAAGAGCTCACACAAGCCTCAGAGCAAGAAAATAGTTTTTCATCTGGGCGTGGTGGCGCACACCTTTAGACCTAGCTAGGGAAGCAGAGGCAGGTGGATCTCTGTGAGTTCAAGGACCCCCTGGTACATTCCAGACTAGCTAGGGTTACAGGGAGACCCTGTCTCAAAAAGACAAAGAAAAGAAAATTATTTTTCTTTGCTTCCTAAAAGGTTTCAGGTACACAGCAAGCAATCATATTTATAAATGAGAAAATGCCTTAACACCCTTAAATGTATATTACGGTTTATAAATCTTACAACCCCATTTATAGTTTAAAGTTTCATTTTAATTATTGTACCATGTACAGTTTGTTTGTGTTTTGGTCTTTTTGAGACAAGGGCTCCCTGTAGCCCCTGCTGGCCTGGAATTCCACTATGTAAGACCAGGCTGGCCTTGAACTCAGAGATCCGCCTGCCTCTGCCTCTGCCTCCTGAGTGCTGAGATCAAAGATACGTGTCACCACACCCAACATATAGTTTTATTATGTCTTGAATAATATCACTACATAAAATGTTTTTTTTTTAGATTATTTATTTGGACCCGAGGATCAAACTCCCTCACTCAACCTCCCCCCTACAGGCCTTATGCATGGTAGATAAGCATTCTATCACCTAGCTGCATCCACAACCCCTAAAATGCTTATTAGCTTTCTGTCACTGTAACAAATGCCTAATGATAATAAACTCATAAAGAGAGAGCATGTACTTTAGTTCACAGATCTATAGGTTCTAGTCCATGATTAGTTGGTTTTGTTACTTCAAGGACTTCCTGAGGCAACACATCATTGCAGCAACGTGTTATGGGACAAAACCATTCATCCCATGGGTTGGAAGTATAGGAGAGTGAGGGGATCCCAGGGTCCCATAGTTGCTGTCAGGGGCGCTTCCCCCCATGACCTGCTTAGGTGCTAGCTGGTTCTTGCATGTGCTCTTTTGCTTTCCTCTGAGAAAGAGTGTTGTGTTTTTGGCATTGTGGGTGCTAGGCAAGCACTACATCCCCAGCCTAAGACCATCTTCTAAAGGTTATGGGACCTCCTAATGTGCCACCCTAGATACATGGTCCTCTGTGGGACACATAAGATCCAAGCTATAGCAGTACTTAGTGCCAAGATTTAAGATTCACATATCTTTTTAGGCCAGAAGTGTTTTTTTGTTTTTTTTATTATTATTATTTTTATTTTATGTGTGTTTTATCTGCATGTAGGTAAGTGCACCTGTGTCGTGCAAGGCCTGCAGAGGACAGAAGAGGCTGTCAGATCCCCTGGAACTGGAGTTGTGGACAGTTGTTAGCTGCCATGTGGGTTCTGGGAATCGAACCCAGGTCTTCTGCAAGAAAAAATCAGTGTTCTTAACCACTGAGCCATCTCTCCAGCCCAGGCCAGAAGAGTTTTTAAAATTTACGTAAATTTTCATTTGATAAGTGAAGAAGTTGAGGCACCAAGAGTTAAGGGATCTACTCATAGTGACACAGCTATCAGTAAATGAAATCAAATTATTATCCATGCAAAAGGCATCTGACCTGCAACATTCCCAACACAGTCCTGATGATCTGTGTAGCCATCACATATAAATATAGTAGGGGTTTCATGTTTGTTTCATTGAATCAAATGAGTCACTTCTCTCAGATGAGAATCCACTGTTTAGTAGTAGAAACCCACTCTGACATTCTTGACCTTTCTTCTACAGATTGTGGACTCTCATTCATTGTACCCAGGATTAGGGAATTTAATATGATGCTGCAAGTTCTTCAGTTTCTAGTAGGGGCTCCTAAAATCTTACAAAGATTAGATGACTTTCTAGACCGAGGCAACTGATATTTTCTAGCCAAATCTGATATTTCTGGAACAGAACTAGAGGAAAATAGTCAACACAATCCATATATGCCTGCTTTTTAAGAAATAAACTCTTATCCACAGATGTGTTAGCTAAATTAATTTAACTATTCAATATATTCTGTATGAAGAATTATAGT